GTACAGCAATTAGTCATCAGGCCACGCCGACCACTAAGGTTATGACCTTTGATACATATAAGCCCATATAGTATAAGTATATGTGTACAGTGACCACATAAAAACAGTAGTTTGGAACTATTTCAGCTATTTTTTGTCCAGCTGGTTCAATGGTCAAGGAATAGAAACCGATGAAGCTAAGTTACTTGAACTCTTTTTTTCTATCTCTCGTTATGATCTGGGGTTCGATTCCCCGCGGTAGCCAGGCATGGCCAAGTGCCTAGAGCGCTTGACTCGCAATCTGAGGGTCGCGGGATCGAATCCCCGTCCCACGAAACATACTCCCCCTTTCAGCCGTGAGGGCGTTATAATGTGACGGCCACTCCCCTATTCGTTGGTAAAAGGGTTGGCGGTGAGTGTTGATGACTAGCTGCCTATATAAATACACTAATTCTCTTATATTTACACTTAAACTCCAATTTCTACAAAATAAGTTACTTATGTAAAAATAAGCTTTTTATCATATTTATTATAAAATGTTAAAAACTGACCATTTTGTAATTCTGAATCATGAAAAGTTTTAAGAGAATATTTGTAGTACTTAGAATGTCTTGAAGTTTACCAGGAAACCATATATAAATATACATCTTGAAGTTTACCAGGAAATTATGCATATACATCTTGAAGTTTACCAGGAAACCGTGAATTAAAGGTCATTAACACATTAGAACTGAACGAAGTTTGTCTTTATTCTGGACTGGTTTCAAGATGAGCTGAAAACAAACACTCTTGAGATATCTTATGGACTGGTTTCAAGACGAGTTGAAGACAAACATTTTTGAGAATTCTTATGGACTGGTTTCAAGATGAGCTGAAGACAAACACTCTTGAGATTTCTTATGGACTGGTTTCAAGACGAGTTGAAGACAAACATTTTTGAGAATTCTTATGGACTGGTTTCAAGATGAGCTGTAGACAAACACTCTTGAGATTTCTTAACCAAGTTTGCTTACCAAACACTGCAAACCTCAGTTAAATACATTATTTCAATAAAACATATATTCTTAGAGCGAGAAGGATGTTCACGTGGGGTACAGTATTCTCTAGTTTGGTACTGTACCTTTTTTTTATGGGGAGAGAGATTGTGTTAAAATAAAGCATTTATTTCAATGTTAATTTGAAGTATAATGCAGGATCGTATTTTCCATTAATTTTGTCATTGATAATTCTCTCCCATACCGATGGTTCAGCAGTAAGCTTGAAGGCTTTAACACTTACATTCAGGGTTCAATCCTTGCGGCTAACACAGCACAGATATCCCAAACGTGATACCTTTTCATAATGGTAGTCTCAGTTTATGCTAACCTGCCTATTTCATAGAAAACACTAGTAAGAATGTGCGTACCGAATATTTATAACTGTCACCTAAGAAATAATGCTCCTATATCTATCACCCCAGAAATAATGCTCCTATAATTATCACCCCAGAAATAATGCTCCTATAACTGTCACCCCAGAAATAATGCTCCTATAACTATCACCCCAGAAATAATGCTCCTATAACTATCACCCCAGAAATAATACTCCTATAACTTTCATCCCAGAAATAATGCTCCTATAACTGTCACCTAAGAAATAATGCTCCTATAACTGTCACCCCAGAAATAATACTCCTATAACTGTCACCCCAAAAATAATGCTCCTATAACTATCACCCCAGAAATAATGCTCCTATATCTATCACCCCAGAAATAATGTTCCTATAACTATCACCCCAGAAATAATACTCCTATAACTATCACCCCAGAAATAATGCTCTTATAACTGTCACCCCAGAAATAATGCTCCTATAACTATCACCCCAAAAATAATGTTCCTATAATTGTCACCTAAGAAATAATGCTCCTATATCTATCACCCCAGAAATAATACTCCTATAACTGTCACCCCAGAAATAATACTCCAATAACTGTCACCCCAAAAATAATGCTCCTATAACTGTTACCTAAGAAATAATGCTCCTATATCTATCACCCCAGAAATAATGTTCTTATAACTATCACCCCAGAAATAATACTCCTATAACTTTCATCCCAGAAATAATACTCCAATAACTGTCACCCCAAAAATAATGCTCCTATAACTATCATCTAATAGCTTTTTTGGGGGGGGTTTAGTGAATATTGTCAGAAAAATCTAATAGCTCATATTGGTTTTTAGTGGTGAATAATGATATTACATCGAAATATAAAAGTAAACCTTGTTTATTTAAAAATCACTTTTTAAATCCTGGAACGCAGTATCACCTGACTTATAATCTCGTAAGGTACTCCTGAAAATGACATGTAGAGCATTTCTTTTTAAAGGGACGACGTTGACGGCTTCAGTAAATACGTTCTGATTGTGTACAGAAAAACGTTGTATTTTAATTATTCATTTGAATGGTTATACAACACCATATATAATTATATTTACCGAAATGTTGCCAAAAACCAAACTGTTTTAAGTATTTTGTTCAGGGTTAGCGGATTAATGTGTGTTTGTTTTTAGCAGATTGTTTGTTTGTTTTTAATTATGCACAAAGCTACACAAGGGCTATCTGTGCTCTGCCCACCACGGGTATCGAAACCCGGTTTCTAGCGTTGTAAGTCCGCAGACATACCGCTGTGCCACTGGGGGGCGTTTTTAGCAGAATAAGATTGAAAGTTTAACGCCATATTTACAGTTGTCGTTTTTTTGTTCGTAGATATTTTGTGTGTGTGTAAGTAAATGTTGTAATTAGCGCTGGGGTTGTATTGAAAGTTCATAGCATAAACAACAAGTAGATAATTATGCCTCTAATACTGCTTACTAGATACCAACTTTGTATCAAACTTGATTTATAAACTTACTGTTTTCTATTTCAAAAACTGATTGGTAAATTATTTTTAGACCTAACAGTTTATAACTGGTTCGTGTTACCTAAACACATGATTGGGTAAAATTATGGTAGGCATAACTGGTTCGTATTACCTAAACACACGATTGGGTAAAATTATGGTAGACATAACTGGTTCGTGTTACCTAAAGATACGATTGGGTAAAATTATGGTAGGCATAACTGGTTCGTATTACCTAAACACACGATTGGGTAAAATTATGGTAGGCATAACTGGTTCGTATTACCTAAACACACGATTGAGTAAAATTATGATAGGCACAACTGGTTCGTTTTATCTGAAGACACGATTGGATAAAATTATGATAGGCCCAACTGGTTCGTATAACCTAAACACACGGTAGAAATATTTTTCATACATATATGAGAAAGTGTAAAAATTCCGAAGAAAAAATTTATTGTTTCTCTGCTATATATTGAGAGTTAATGTAGGATGAGTTTTACGGCGTTACGTAAATGAACTGAGTTGCGTTGCCAAAGTAACATCGTAACACACTCTCACGCACATTATTTAACTGGCTATTTATGTATTCAGATTCAACTTAAGCACACCGTGAACAACTTCTGTGTCCGCCATCCCTCAACATCAGCGGCTTTAAAAGTATTCCCATCCCTCAACATCAGTGACTTTAAAAGAATTCCCTTCCCTCAACATCAGTGACTTTAAAAGTATTCCCATCCCTCAACATCAGTGGCTTTAAAAGCATTTCCTTCCCTCAACGTCAGTTACTTTAAAAGTATTCCCATCCCTCAACGTCAGTGACTTTAAAAGTATTCCCATCCCTCAACCTCAGTTACTTTAAAAGTATTCCCATCCCTCAACCTCAGTGACTTTAAAAGTATTCCCATCCCTCAACCACTGATATTGAGGGATGGGAAGGCTTTTAAAGTCACTGATATTGAGGGATGGGAATACTTTTAAAGTCACTGATGTTGAGGGATGGGAATACTTTTAAAGTCACTGATAATCTTTTAAAGTCACTGATGTTGAGGGATGGGAATACTTTTAAAGTTTGAGGGATGGGAATACTTTTAAAGTAACTGACGTTGAGGGAAGGGCATCAGTGACTTTAAAAGTATTCCCATCCCTCAACATCAGTGGCTTTAAAAGTATTCCCATCCCTCAACATCAGTAACTTTAAAAGTATTCCCATCCCTCAACGTCAGTTACTTTAAAAGTATTCCCATTCCTCAACATCAGTGACTTTAAAAGTATTCCCATCCCTCAACATCAGGGACTTTAAAAGTATTCTCATCCCTCAACATCAGGGACTTTAAAAGTATTCCCTTGAAAACATGGCTTATGACTTTATGCATTCTGTTCTTTTCTGCTTAAAATACCGAATTCTAAATAGAAAAAGAAAAGTAGGCTCATTTATGAAGCTGGATAAACAAAATTGTAATATCATTAATCATGGTTAAAAAATGTAAGAAAGATCATTAGTTACTTTCCGTGTGATGCACCTAAAATTTAAACACCATTATATCATTTGTCTGAGCGCCAAACTTTGGAACGTTCCAACATTTTTCTGTCGACGTTGTTTGTATATCACGAGGTACCGAAAACGGTTGTTGTATTTTGTCTACCAATTTGATCTATTTATTGCGTGTGATGTATATTAGAGCATCTTTTGATATTTTAATTAAAAAGTGTGTTCTTTCGAGAAGAAACGAATAAAACAATAATAATAGAACGAAAACCTGGAACCAAGTTAAAGAATATATATAAATCAGTTTGTGACGTATTTCCATAGAAGAAGAATATTTATAATAGGGCAAAATAGTAGAAGAAAATATATGATAAAAGATGCACAAGTTTTCAAAAATCATCACGTAAAATACAACTCTACTATAGAGCCACTTGCTGCACATCCAAGTTAAATCGTCTCAATTCCGTGTTTATCTTTACAAAGTAATACATTCTTTTTGCAATAGGTATAAACTTGGGTCAGCCCCGTGCCGAAAAGAGTTTTTCTCTTAGTATTTATTTATTTCCAACGTGCTCCTTATTTTAAAATGTAACTTTTTTTTTTCAAAGAAAGGAAGAACTCCGGAGAAATATTTGTATGAAAGCTTTTAATTTCTTTTGTTTGTCTAGAATACTTTGGTTACCCAAGAACTATACCTTTTTTTTTTTTTTAGTTGTATAATCGCTTCAGGTCAACGAGCTAATAAAAGATGGTCTCACTTCAAAAAAATAATTCCTGCCTACTATTTTCTATTTTAAATGCTACCAATTCTGCATTGATTTAATAACATTGGTATTTCATTTGTAATAGAATACATCTCAGTAATACTCAACATAATTGTAAAAAAACAATTTTCTTACACAAATAAATCCATAAAGAAATAGGACAATCAGAGCAATACTTTAAAATTTATCACGAGATCGTAAGTTTTGTAATTTCACCATAGACAAATGCTCTATCTTAAATACTTGGATGTCCATCCAACACAACCGTTTTGAATATATTCTTGTACATTGGATCTTGGTGGCTTTGACTTCTTCTTCTTCTTAGTTAACTTTATACAACAGTCGTTATTGGCTTGGCTCGTTACTGATATACTTTAGCTTGTTTTATTACTGTTAGGACTAAAATCTCAACTTTATGTCAAAAACAAGTCTTATCTTCTACATATGATATATTGGTGGGCGATTATAAATGATAAGCTTTGTTTGATACGTTAACAATTTTATTTATATCATAGTTTACCATCAATAATTTCATATATTTACACAACAGTCTCGCCCACAACGCTTTCACTTCGAAGTTTATTTGTTTCTTCAGCGGGGTTTGAACAACGCCGAACATCTGCTTGTTGTTGTTGTTGGCGTCGTCCCAACAGTCCAGCAAAAAATCCTTTCAACGTGCCACTCGATCCCGATGGATATATTATATCGTTATAAGAAAGCCACCTTCTAGACGGCTTTTCACACAGGGGTCCTTTGAATCGGGTTCTTCTTTCGCCATCAAACGACCCTCTGTCGTCGCCACCACTGTTACTACTCTCTATGAGAGGCTTGTGACTTTCGTTTAGGTTAACGATTCCGTTTTTCATTAAAAGTTTTTTGTTTTCTTGTTCTACATTTGATTTCAGTGCGTCTCCATCCACAGCGTTTGGCGTTATCTCACGAAAGGAACAAGGAACTGAAGATCTATTTCGTGAGGGTGGGTCAGGTATTGAGCAATTATATATGTCTCCATAGCTACTGCAATAAGATTGTCTGTTAGTTTCGTCGTTGAGTCGGCAAATTCTTCCTCTACTAGAACTGAGGCTTCTTTTTGAGCATGGACTGTTTTCACTCACCTTCAGGAAAGCCGGAATTTGATTCAATGAACCTTGGAAAGAGTCACTGTCGTTCACTCTTGAGGCTGGGCTGGTGTCCCTACGTCCCACATGGAAACATCGTCTTGGAATCTCGTTTCCTGGCATTCTCAAGCCTCGAGGTTTACTGTCGGAATCACAGGTTGTGTTAAAGAGTGGTTGAGGAAGCTTGATTTCGAGAGGTTCCCGACAATGTTTGCAACCTAGCAACCAGAACGTGTTGATGTTTCCTTTACCCTGTAACATTGAAATCACGGTATAAACTTTGAAAACTTTTCATCATAGCTGCTGTTACTTCCTATCTTCAGTTCTCTTCAAAGAGAGCATCATGCTCTCAACAATATCATACTCCCAACAATATCATACTCTCAATAACGTCATACTCTCAACAATATCATATTCACAATAACATCATACTCTCAATAACCTCATACTCTCAACAATATCATATTCACAACAATATCATACTCTCAATAACATCATACTCCCAACAATATCATATTCACAACAATATCATATTCACAATAATATCATACTCTCAATAACATCATACTCTCAACAATATCATATTCCCAACAATACCATACTCTCAATAACATCATACTCTCAACAATATCATACTCTCAATAACATCATACTCCCAACAATATCATACTCTCAATAACATCATACTCTCAACAATATCATACTCTCAATAACATCATACTCTCAACAATATCATACTCCCAACAATACCATACTCTCAATAACATCATACTCTCAACAATATCATACTCCCAACAATATCATATTCACAACAATAGCAAATTCACAATAATATCATATTCTCAACATTATCATACTTTCAACAATATCATACTCTCAATAACATCATACTCTCAAAAATATCATATTCACAATAATATCATATCCACAACAATATCAAATTCACAATAATATCATATTCTCAACATTATCATACTCTCAATAATGGATAAAAACAATGAACTTATGCTGTTTAGCCTTAGGCTAAATTAATTTTGTTACAGGTGATCAGGTCATTTTAAACATTTATCTGAATTTCGGCTATTTATCTAAACTCGCGTCTTCTGGGATTATAAAATAACTCAAACATATATTTGTATGTTCTAACAAAACATTTCATTAAAGCCATATCATACGTGGCTTTATATCAAATCTGGGAACATAACTGGTCGCTTTTATTGACAGCTCTGTGAAAGACTGCCCAGAATATCTTTTGAAGCACTGTATCGAGCTATATTAATTATATTTCTCGCTGTCCCTAAATTTGAACTACTAACCAAAAGGAAAACAGATAGTCGGAGTACTTTTACACCTACTATCCTAAAGATTGACTTTCACTCTTATAACGCAACCGCAGTGTAAATTGCGGAAAATATTTTGCACTATCGCACACGTTCGAATCCGGCTCACAAGCTCTGAAGACCAGAACTCTACGACAGGGCCAAGCTGCAACCCCATTGAGTTTATGAACCGATACTCTCGATATTATAAGATTCTATAATAACAGTTTCCTAAAAGAGATTTGATACTGTACGTGTAACTAACACGAACAACCTTAAATTTACCATGAATGTCTCAGAATTTTTACCTTTCAAGCAAAACCTAACAGATATGCAGCTTACAACCGACATCTAAACTTGTGAAAAACGTGTTTGTAAAACAAGTTATACCAGCACTCAAACATCAGTATGCCCTTAATAAATGCTAAAAAAAAAATTGAATACAAAGTTTCTCTTTCCTTTGCCGTTATATGGAATAAGAAAGATCAAAATAGTTTTCAAATGTGAAGCCCACCTTTATCGGTATCACCCCTCTTTTCTCCAAGATGTAACCTCCAAGTCTATCAAGGTACTCTTTACAGTCTGGACTAACGTGAATCTTTAGAGCTGTGAGATAGTAATAATAATAATAGCTTTAATAATAACATTAAGGTAAGCCATCAGAAAAAGATTTCTTTGGAGCATGTTGGACGAAATTCTCCAATTCTTGTAATAAACCAATTTCATTCAAAAAATGAAGAACGGATGCTTAATTTCCAGAAAGTAAATTATGGGGTTTAAAATATTATACACACATGTGTACGTGTGTGTTTGTGTAAGTAAAAGTTTTCGAGGCTTGTAAAAGACGTAGTAATTACGAGCTTATCAAGGAGACAGAATCCGCTAATCCCCCGATGGAACAGCGGTAAGTGTAAGAATCTTACAATGCTAAAATCCGGGCTTCTATTCCCCTCGGGGTACAGAGCAGATAGCTCCCTGTGGCTTTTCTCGAAAACAAACAAAACCTAGTACAAGTTAACATACAATATAAAAAAAAATATCTAGACAATGTAATATTCACTTCTTTAATTCATTTACGAACTAAAAATAATTTCAAGTTCATGTATTAAAAACTGGAAACGCATTACGAATTAAAATAAAAAAAAATGAATTCATTAAAAATGTTATCAAACAAGAGCCGAACTCAAATTTATACATAAGGAATTTTGTACCTTCTCCGTTAGACTCCATGCGAGAAGCCATGTTCACTGTATCTCCAAACAAACAATACCTGGGCATAGTGAGTCCCACAACACCTGCCACAACAGGACCTGTGAATAAATGGGATAAACAGAATTATTTACAGGACCTGTGAATGAATGTGATCAACTGAATTATTTACAGGACCTGTGAATGAATGTGATCAACTGAATTATTTATAGGACCTGTGAATAAATGTGATAAACTGAATTATTTATAAGGTAAATAATTCATTTTATCACATTTATTCACAGGTCCTATAAATAATTCAGTTGATCACATTCATTCACAGGTTAAATAATTCAGTTTATCACATTTATTCACAGGTCCTATAAATAATTCAGTTTATCACATTTATTCACAGGTCCTGTAAATAATTCTGTTTGTCACATTTATTCACAGGTCCTTAGGACCTGTGAATAAATGTGATAAACTGAATTATTTATAGGACCTGTGAATGAATGTGATCAACTGAATTATTTATAGGACCTGTGAATGAATGTGATCAACTGAATTATTTACAGGACCTGTGAATGAATGTGATCAACTGAATTATTTACAGGACCTGTGAATAAATGTGATAAACTTAATTATCTAT